TAAAAAAAAAAAAAAAAAAAAAAAAAAAACACCATTTCAGAGTTCTGCCAGTTTTTGCCTAACTCTATCCTGTAGAGTTTAAAGTAGCCTACACCTTATTGTCTACATATTGGCTTAACAACTTAGGTACGTTACTTTATAAAAGCTGACAGCCTTTTTACGTTGACTTAAATTGTAAGCTTACCTTTTCCTGTACATGGGCAGATTGATTGTTTAAAATTAACCCTTTAAACTGGAATAGGACTGTCATGTAAATTTTATTTTGTATAAAAAGTATTTCCTTCAGTTAATAATCTTTTAGTTGACTCTTTTAAAATCATCAGAATAAATTATGACTGTTATTAGTTTTTAAACAAGTTATTTGTTTATAAATAACTCCTGTACTTCTTTGCAATTGCTCATTTCGAGCAACATGTACACTAGTTTAAATTTTAAAATGTAAACAACCAGAACTAACTGTCAAATGAATTTTGATTTCACAATTCCACACAGCTGGTTCAAACATATTAAATAATGCACGAATATTAGAACAGAGAGGGTAAGGATTATAAATTTAAAATAATGATGTTACTAGCCCGAATGTAAACATTATTTTACATTACTTAAATGTAGCTGTCAAACCATATGTTAATGTAATTTAATTAGTATATGATTCTTTCAGATACTTCAGTTTCATACCAACCGGCACCGACATCAATGTCGTAGCAGGTTTGGGTGTTTTCGACTATTTTTCACAAAATATCAATAAAATGGTTTATACAGGGTGAGTCTTCTAAGCTGTCCTAAACAGATTACAGACGAACGGCTTGACATACAGAGATGAAACAAAACTTTTCCCCACTAATTCATACCCAAGGAACAACGTAAAAATGTTTTTACCATTTTTAAAATACAGGGTGTTCAAGAAACTGGGGGTCATGGGTTCGAATCTTAGAGTTTTCAAATGTAAACATATGTCATGTTATGCATTATTTTAAAGCTCTAGACTAGACAAACAATTTAGTGAAAACAGAACTCATTTATCTTTGTCCGTTTCAAAATGGCGGCCATTTTTATATAAAATATTGATATTTACAGAATACCCTGTATCTTGAAAACCACTAAACTTATTTTCGTTCTGTTTGAAAATTCTTAATCCTCGTAGGTTCAGCTTTAATTTGATATACAACAAGTCAACATTTTAAAAACTAAATATTTTTTCTATGATTTTAATTTTTTTTTTAGTTGGTAGCCTTGTAAATGAACATTTTTAAATGGCAACATATGTAAAAGTTTGTATAATTTTGAAGGTCTTATAAAAACAAACAACTTTTAAATTTAAACTTACCGTCTATCTTTGGTCGTTTTTTAATAATTAACCAAAAACTCCAATTGCCCATATAAAACTCATGTTAAACGTACAGTACTGAAGATTAGTGGATGGAGATACACTATTCCCATGGTACTGCGCGTTTAACATGAGTTTTATATGGGCAATTGGAGTTTTTGGTTAATTACTATAAAACGACCAAAGATAGACGGTAGGTTTAAATTAAAAAGTTTTTTGTTTTTACAAGACCTTCAAAATTATACACACTTTTACATATGTTGCCATTTAAAAATTTGCATTTACAAGGCTACCAACTTAAAAAAAAAATTAAATCATAGAAAAAATATTTAGTTTTTTAAATGTTGACTTGTCGTATATCAAATTAAAGCTGAACCTACGAGGATTAAGAATTTTCAAACAGAACGAAAATAAGTTTAGTGGTTTTCAAGATACAGGGTATTCTGTAAATATCAATATTTTCTATAAAAATGGCCGCCATTTTGAAACGGACAAAGATAAATGAGTTCTGTTTCCACTAAATTGTTTGTCTAGTCTAGAGCTTTACAATGATGCATAACATGAAATATGTTTACATTTGAAAACTCTGAGATTCGAACCCATGACCCCCAGTTTCTTGAACACCCTGTATTTTAAAAATGGTAAAAACATTTTTACGTTGTTCCTTGGGTATGAATTAGTGGGGAAAAGTTTTGTTTCATCTCTGTATGTCAAGCCGTTCGTCTGTAATCTGTTTAGGACAGCTTAGAAGATTCACCCTGTATATCATTGTAAATAGTTAGAACAGATGTATATACACTTGTTTATAAAAATTATTAATTATTATTTTAGAAGTTATTAGGTTTTTTACTAAACATGCTACGACATCAGACTTAGAAATTTTCAATGTCGTAGTAGGTTTCATACCAACCGACACCTACATCAATGTCGTAGCAGGTTTGTTACCAACCGGCACCGACATCAACCACGTGGTGACTGGTGACGTCACCTCAGTGCTCGGAACCATGCCCTACCACACTCCACGTGATCACCACGTACTGGCCCCCGACCTGCCTTAACCCACGTGTTCTCTGATCCTCTGTTTACATTTGACGTCATGGACACACCTCCCTTCTCCCTCCCCGACCTACCTCAACCCACGTGGTCTCTGACCCTCTGTTTACATATGACGTCACCTTAGTACTCGGAACCACACCACGTGCTGAGTCGCCGACCTACCTCACTCCACGTGGTCACAGATCCTCTGTTTACATCTGAGGTCATGGACACACTGGGTTTTGGCCCAGAAAATGACGGGTGTAAGCCAGCCCAACAGATCATACAAACGAGCAATAGTAAATAAAACTGATCTCTTTGTGGATGGAGTAGTAGAGGGACTGACTACACAGACAAATGCATCTATATCAGAGAGCCATTTCAACCTAAGACGTTACAAAGTGGTTGATCTTGCGCACAAAATTGTATAGGACTCCCATGATGTTCTTTTGGAATTGCATCTAGTATATGGCGATTATTGGAAGACCATTTGCATAGAGAAAATCCTCCTTTTGCCATATAAGATCAATAACATCTTGTTGCAGAAGAAGTGCTTCTTCTACAGTATCTAATCCTATAAGGGTGTCATCTACGTATATCTGATCTCTTAAGGCAGCAGCTGCAAGGGGATGATGCTGACCTTCATCCTCTATGAGTTGTTGGACAACACAGTTTGCAAGAAATGCCATACCATAAGTAACAGTACAAAGTTTAAATATTTGCAACGGCTTAGAAGAATCATTTCGCCAGTAGATTAGCTGCAAATTCCTATGATCTGGATGAAACCAAATATTACCAAACGTCATTTGTTTTATGACAAAAAAACCATTTGTTTTATGTCACACGTGAAGACGATACGTTGTCGGCGAAATCCAAAGATGATATGCTAGGGATGTCGTTAAGCTTTGGACCTGTATGTTAAATACTGTTGAGTGAGGTTACTGATGTAGTTACAGAAGAAGTGTTGAACACAATTCTTATTTTTCCATCTTTGAAGACTTCGTGATGTGGCAGGAATAAATTAGGAGAATATGTCCAGAAGATTCAAAATCTTGCATGAAGCTTTTCTGAAGATTTTCAAAAGATCTAAATACACTATACGCTGAATTGGCTGAATTTCCTAGAACTGTAGGGTTCTGCTTCAATGGTAGTTGAACTTGACATTTCCCATCGGGAAGACGAGAGTGTGTTTTCATAAAGTGATCATTGTACTTTACATCAGGAGAAAGCTTTGAAGCTGTTGGTTACTTCTGAAGCTCAAAAATTTTGAACAGCACTATGTAAATCGATATCTGAAAATGTGAGGAGATTCACTATTGTGTTGGCACTAGGGCGTGTATTGTCAAACTGGACAGGAGCATGGTGCCTAATAAAACATTACCAAAGATGGTGTTCCTTGTCGTCAATCACGTTTTAAGGTCCATAAGTATATAAGTCCAATATTTAATCAAAATCCTTCCACTGGATTTCTAGATCAATATGACAGACAAACAGACATAGGTAGCTTGTACGAGGGCTATTCAGATAGTAAGGAACGTTTCGATCTGACGGTGCTAGGGTCGTGCTGATCTCGTACATTTTGGTGCTTGCGCACTCGGTAACTCAGTTAGCATCCAGCCGTGACAAAAGGAACGTCCTCGCTTTACCCGTTTCTTTTGGCAATTTCAACTTAAAATGTGCGCTGAGTTTGAAAATCCTACCAGTTGTGAGGAGCGGTCAGTGATACGTTTTTCTTGGCAAAAACTTAAAACCAAAAGTCATTTATTGCCAAGTTTGTGAAGTTTACGGAAACAACGTAATGAAGTAAAGTTTGGTGCGAAAATGGTGCATTCAGTTTAAAAATGCCAGGTCTGATGTCCATGAGTCATGACGAAACTAAGGGCGTACATCCGAGCATTGTGACTAATGGAACTGGTCGCTATGTCGGGCGTGCGCAATTGGTTTTGTCATGACTCATGGACGTCAGTTTGGCCATTTTTTAACTGAATGCACCATTTTTGCACAGAACTTAACTTTGCATTCGCATTACGTTGTTTCCGTAAACTTCACAATCTTGGCAATAAATATCTATTGGTTTTAAGCTTTTTGCCAAAAAAAGACCGTATCACTGACCACAACTGACAACTGGCAGGATTTTCAAACGCAGCACACATTTTAAGTTAAAATCGTGAAAAAACGGGCAAAGTGAGGATGTTCCTGTTGTCACGGCTGGACGCTAACTGAGTTACCGAGTGTGCACACACCAAAATCTATGAGATCAGCACGCCCTAGCGGCATCAGAATGAAACGTTCCTTTACTTTCTGAATAGCCCTTGTTTTCTATTATAAAAGGACATAGCCTAAAATAAATTAACATAGAAGTATAAGAAAAGGCATAGAGCTTAAAGTTTTAATGGGAGATAGTTTGTGTTGGATTGGTGATACCGTTTTTTTTACTTTGTTTTGAACTGTACTCTCTAACTCTTAAATACTCTCCCTTGTATTGAAGTGATAACAGCTGAAAAACAATTTTTACAGATAACCACCTGGCTAGGATTCTGAAAATAAATTATGAGATCGTTTTTACTAGTACAGTTTTTTACACAGTAGATGAATAAATTAACATAAAATATGTAAAGGTTCTACACTGTAATTTTACCTTTCACACAGCTCTAAAACACGAGACACTCTGATTACAAGGGTGGTGAGTCGTTGGAAAAAGCACTCCTGAGCTGCGTACAGGAAGCTGGCACTCCAGTTGGCATCATCCAAGGTACAGAACACGTTCGCACACGCTCGGAGAGCTTGCCACAGACCACGGCCAAATGCAAATCCTACACCGTCCCAAGGTGCAATCTCCACCTGAACATTGTACATTTATAATTATATCTTGTTTGTTGTTTGTCTCATATAAGTAGAGCTTGGTTGTTCACACCTGATGTGTGCTAAGAAATGTGTGCAACTTGAGACTGTCCACACGCACTTTTCAATCCTCGCTTCAGTCAACTTTCAGTTCGTCATAAGTCAAAACTTAAATAAATCAAAATACCACAAGTTAAGAGTATACAAGTCTTCATTCTCAGCACCCGAAAGCAATAACTACTTGACTTTAAAGAGTTACTTCATTTTAAAAAGTCCTCATTGAGTTTATTTATTTTCACATTGTCTTTTGTAGCCGCCACATTGATCGGTGTATTTGTTTAGTTACTTGTCATAAACAATTTTTTTTACAGCTAGGTCACCATATTCTTTACTTCACCCACAACAAACAAGAAGAAGAAACACTTCTATTCAAACGATTCTGTGAGAATTTTTTTTTTGATATCGAACATAGGACTTAGTTCTATCAGCCTATACATAAACTGAAAACTCCCATACAGACTGAGTGAAATAGCCATAGATGTGTGCACATGTTGAAAGAGTGTCTACACGCTACAAAATATGTGCAGTCGCTGCAGACACTTGACGTAATTTGCTCAAACCTCCCATGTTGTCAGGGGCATCGCTCAAGGGGGGTAGGGGGGAAGCCACCCCCCCCCCAAATCATCTTTGAAAAGTGTAAAATTTGGGAATTCTTGGGTATTTGAAGGTATAAGTTGGTATTTTGGGAAGTTTGAAACTGTCTATAAGCTGTTGACTTAGCTGTATAAACTAATAATATAAGTAAATCAGTGTTAGAAATTTTATATCCTGAGAAACTATGATAAAAATGTTATGTAACGTATCTGTAGTACACAGTAATTCAAGGCTTTTTTAGAGAAATTTCCTTTCTGAGTTGCGTGTGGAGAGCCGTATCCACTGAGTGTTTATTAAAAATATTTTAAGAGGCTGTAAACTGAATTTATTATTGATCACAGGAGTAAACATTTGCTGAAACACTTCAGACACAATCAAAAATGAAGATTGACAATCAACTCAATAATGTGAGAGAAACCTTTTTCTTTTTATTTGTGTAGGCCAACTTATTTTAGCTATAAAGATGCTTTAAAAATTAATAATAATTAGTTGGGAATTTTGAGTAATATATTTGGGAAATCATGAAATATAGTTGATAATTTGAGTAATATAGTTGGAAAATTTGTGCAATATAGTTGGGAAATCTGTGTAAATTAGTTCAGAAATTCAAAAAGTCCCCCCTCCAGTATTTTATTCTTACGATGCCCCTGCTTGTTGTCGTGCCCACACGCATAAATTTGTGCAAATAGAGTCAACTCATGTAGCCTTAATAGTCAAAACCGAATACAGCTTCCTTGATCATCAGCTTATATCAGATTAATCTGAATAAGGGACTAACAGGCTTAAAGCTGTGACAAGGGTGTCAACGTTCATTCGCTCATCTTTGCCTAAAACTCTGCACCATGGTGTTTATGTTCTATCTCTTCAACTTTGTAACAGTTTGTTGAATATTTAAGTACACAAAGACAAAGTTACTGAAGTACAAGATCACACAGAAGCAAGATTGCCCACACTCTCCTTTACACACCTTGTTGGTTTCAACCTTGTATAGCTGTGAGCCATGTGGGTTGTGGAGATGGAAGCTGTTACATTCGGGACATTGCACGGCCGCCAGCTCTGTCATCAGTCGCAGCATGTGTACAGTGTCAGGCGCTACAAACTGGCCTTCTTCTAGGAACAAAACCGGCCCTAAAAAAAACATGTTACAAATTAAAAAACCACTTTTTTAATTTAATCCATTGGCGCCAGCTTAAGACTTGAGAGCGTTACGGCAAAGCGGCTGACTTACGAGTGCCGCTCGTGTCACCGCTACACAGTCCACTATTTATTTAATTATTATTATTTTCCCCCTTTTTGTTTCTTCTTACTTTATGATGTTTATCTTGCTTCTTGTTTTGCATATTTACTCATTTATTTTTACGAATAACAAACAAGGTTGTGTTGCCATGGAAACCAGATATCCCCCAAAATCAGCTGCGGTAAGGTAAAACAGCAGTTATTTATAGTGAGCAAAGTGAGCAATTGCCTCACTCGAGAGAAATCCTTACTCACGAGTGAGTGGTTTCTCGAGTGAGGCGATTGCACTTTGCACTCGAGTTGCACATAATATTTTTCCTACAGTTACCATAAAACAAATAAATTGGTAAAGAAACGTGCCTTCACGTTGCAAATCTGGAGTGAGACATTTCTCAAATCAGTGAGAGAACATGTACATTGTTAGGTAACTGTAGGATTTTTTTCTATGTGATCTATACCAATCTATAAAAGAGGAAGTATGTATGTATGTATATACCCTATGGACACCGAAACCGCTCGACAGATTGTAATTAAACTAGGCATTAGGGCCTATTGAGCATTGTTCAAGGATGGTTTGTGTGAAGTTTGGTCCAGATCTGTCAAAAGGGCTCTGCCCCAAAGGGTTTTAAGGGGTCCAATGTCAGACTTTTGGAACTACAATGTTTACAAATAAATATAATTTAAAAGCAGATGTTTACTTTCATCAACTGTTTTGTAGGTTTGAATAATCACAACATTCTGTATTTGTCATGATTTGAAATAATGTCACACTGTTTCCACGGATTGCAGCACAGAAAACCATTTTACTTTTGAATAAGTCCAAATATATTAAGCCTCAATCGGAGCACAACTGTGCATTCAACAACGTTTAAATTCTTCACTATTAAATATGCAAACATAAAGTAAACCTTTATCAAAGTACTAGAGGACCCATGCTGCTCCGCAGCTTTAAAGTAAATATAATATCCGAGAAATAATGAAATTTATGATATTTGATTGAGTAATACAGTTTCTTAAAAGTAACTGATTCTAACGATCAACAGCACAACACATCAAATTAAAGCCTATAATTTACTGATTATTTTGAGTCTAGGTAAATGAAAAAAAATGTTTATGTTGGTTGTTCACCTTGATATTGACATAAGTCAACCTCTTTTACACTAGCAGCTTCGTGTGTGCCATAAAACGTAACTTTATACTTAGGCAATTTGCTTTCAGCATCAATACTGTCAATCAAAGCTGGCCAGTGAGGATAGCCTCTTACTTTGGCAAAGACTTTGTCACCAGGGTTAAATTTAAAGTTCTACCCATTTTAATTAGACCAGTTTTAATTTATAACATTTGTTTTCAATGCTTGCTTATGAATAAAAATAATATTAAATAAAATTGAAATAATCTTTAGATAAAAATCAAATAAAAATTTCCTCTATAATATATTAATAAGTCTTGATGTTTGTCTTAATTTATTATCAGGTAGTATATATTATATAGATGTATTCTATTTTCTTATCACTTCTTATATTTAAAATTATTTATTAAGCCAAATTCCAGGATCAGTTATCTAGGTAATGTACTCCTAAGTTACATAACTAGTCCTAGATTGATAAGGAGTAGGTTGTCTGTGGTCAGTCAGGGCAAGGTTCAGCAACAAGGTTCAGTAAGTCTGTATAGTTTAGACACCAGTGTCTAACCTGTCCAGTGCCTAACCTGTCCAGATCCTGTTGCAGGCGGATTGATGCACAGGATGCCAAAACCCAACGAAAATTGAAACTATGGATGAAAACATGTGACAATTTGCATCCAATTAGTAAGTAAAACTATTTAAGACTAGGTTGGTCTGCCGTTACACTTTAGACGCATAAATGAGCGAAGCATTATTTAAAGATTGTCAATGGCTAAAGCAGCTAACACCCTACAATATGTTCCCTTTCAACAGATTCACCGTTTGTTTGCCCGATATTATTTAAATTCTAAAGATTGACAAATTTAGCTGATACAGTAGAGTCCCGCAAACTCGGCACTCGATAACCCGGCAGTCTGGATAACTCGGCCATCACCTGGCTCAGAAAATTTGTGATTTTTTAGTTAAATATGTATGTACAGTATACATTTTTTTATTTCCTAAGGCACCAAGGACTTCTTTCACTATATCTGATGACTTAATACTGACTTGTAATATAAATATAAATAAAAAAGGCGGTTGAAAAGCTTCAAAACTGTATTGTTAAGCCTAGTTCCCGATAACCCGGCATTTCACAAACTCGGCACCCTTTCAGTCCACATTACGCCGAGTTTGCGGGACTCTACTGTAGTTCATACTGTACCTTTGTAGTGAAACTGGCCATCCTGACCATTTGCTTGTACTTTGTAAATGGGCATAGCAGGATGTACTCGTGCAATCAACATTTGTTCTACAATCGTCAGGTCAGTTAATTCGTTCGGGACACTTGACACATCCATATTATTTAACGCCGTGAATTTAGTTGCACTTGAACGACAACGCGAACAAATCGGTGATTGGTTTGAAGCTGTTAGTTGTTGGCGATGACAGTTAGTGCAAGTGTAAAATTGTTGTGCATCTAATTCATGTTAGAATTGATTAGCTAACTGCCTTCATTATCAGATTCTTCCGCCACTGCTTCATCTGGTTCTTCTTGTTCACGACGCCACTCTCTTACAATATTTGCATTATCGGTGCGACGACCAATATTACGACAAGGCCTTTGAGGCATGCTCAAAACAAATATAGCAAAACTACTTCCATTGATAAACTGTTACATTCCAACTTTAACCTATGATGAAAGTAAACTTTGAAATGTAAACAAAACAGTTACAAACAATTAACATATGTTTATCTTATTTAAATGAAACGAGATAAACCCATACTAGGTGAACCCGTGCGAATTCGCACGAATAATAAATTAGGATAATATAGCAACGTCGTTAGATGTTGCGTCGTTGTATCGACATTGGTCTTGAGCTTGATCGTTGACTACAGTATATGCATTCTAAGTTCTTTTTGCAGTTCAGTAGGAGTACTTTGGAGGAAGGAGCTCATCATGCTGAACACTTGCGCGCATGGATTAATATCAACCAAATGTTGAGTCAAAATGTGCATGAGTTCAGTTCTGCAAGAGCATTAGCTTTGTTCTTTCTTTCTTGAACAGCGGTTTCGACGTCATAGATATAAAGTTGGGCATATGTGGGATGCTCCCCTTCTGACGGTTGAAAGGTCCAATTGAGTGATAAATTGTGTCGTGCACCTTATACAGTAAGGCCCTCCACCTTTATGTTCTTCAATTTTAGCTCGAGTGCTGACCATTGCGAGCGCAGAGTTGCACGATCTAGTGTTCTCTTTGTATGATTTGCTCCATTTGGTAGGCTCTGGATATAACGGCTTTCTCGGTATGGTGGTAGATTCACTTTTCCTTTATGGCAGCAGGATGAAAATCCTTCGCCTCGTCCTCTTTTTCTTCTTTAAAATGTAGCACACCACATTTCTGACATTTTAATGCCATCTCGCCAAGTGAATGCTGCTGAATTCTTGTATTAGTCAGTGCAATTTTGTAAGTACACGTTGCCACTAACTGTTCCAGCTCCTCGTCTGGGCTCCTTACGTTTTGCATTGCTTGCCGTATGTTGACTCGCCATGTCCGACCGGCAATATTTCTTTTCCGTTGGATCCTTGGCATGTATAATAGAAACTATAATATAAAACATTTCTCCCTTCTTGTCCTATAGGTAAAATTTCTTTGCAGGGTTTCTAGTTATTTTTAAAAACATGCAAACTGTTTACATTTCAAAACCAAACATAACAGCTGGGATTTATTTTTCTTTAAACTAATTTATTGACATCTGTTTCAGAATATAATAACATTCAAATCAATCACAATGTTATCCTTATGGAAGGAACTTTGAGGGCAGCCCATGCCCTTAAAAAGATATATTTCAAAAATCTTAAGCCGGTTTGCACATCTAGATACCTAGACGAACATTTTGGTACATAATATGTGGGGTTAAATCTTAAAACAAAAAAGCCTTATTGTTCACAAAGTTTCATGTCGTGTATTAAATATATAGATGTCATAAACCCAATATAATTTTTCTTTCAACTTACATTAAAATAACAAGCGAAATTGCGTGACCCGTAAAATAAAATCCAGAAGGAAATTTGCAAATATTTTTTTACCAAAACATTGTGCTCAGTATTCTTTAGCTGTTGGCCAAATTTCATATCAATTGGTCAAGCCATTACATTCTGATGCTCTTACAAAGAAGTTACAAAGTGAGGGAAAGTGAGCTTCGCTCAATAATATTAAGTTTATTTACTGTCTTCTTGAAATGGTTATGCAGAAAAATTTGTTAAAAACTGTTCTTGTATCAATATTACTTACTTTTAACAACTTGTAATAATTTAATACCACAGTATTTCATAAATAAAATAGAGCACATTAGAACAAACTGTAGGGAACAAGCCATCAATCGATAACTAAAAAATAGAGCAGTAATTTCAAAAACGCCAAAAATAATAATTATAACATACCATAGAAATACTGATTATAGCATTGCTCAATTTTGTAAACTCTTAGAAAGTGAAAACTGGATCAATGTGTTCAATGCACCTGTTAATAATAAGTTTGACATTTTCTTTGATATAATTAAGAATGATTTTGATGTTTGTTTTCCTAAGCTTAAAAGTAGATTACTATACAATGATGGTTGAAAATGACATATTGTGCAAACTAATATCTTCTACTGGTTCAAAAAATATTATTTCACCCTCCAAAAAATTGATATCAAGATTTAGTCTTTCACCAATTACTTATGAAGAGCTGGACAAAATTATAACTTCTTTTGATAATAAATTTTCTACTGGCTGGGATGAAATACCA